ACAAATATAATTCCAAACATCTTCATTATTAATTTTACTAATAAGCTGTATGATAAATTCTCTTTTATTTGCACTCATATTAACACCAGGATAATTTCCAAATAATTTCTTAAATATTTCAATAATATCTTTTAAAAGTTCCTCATTAAAATAATTGCCAAGATATTGAATACATGATAAAGGTATCTGATCCAACATTTTTTCTATATTATTATATTATTAATTGTTTAGCAAATGTGCATAAAAACCCTATATATAATATTTAAAATATTACCATCTAAATCTAAAGCATTGCAGATTGCTATTTTAATTGCAGAATGTTCCTGTTGTAAATTCATAGCCTCATTCACTAAATTGTTTCTAAGACTATAAGAAAGTTCTTCATGTGAATGAGTATCTAATTTCTTTTTATCTAATAGTAATCTAAACAATAAAATATACACCCCTTCGTAATCTTGGTTTTGTTGAAAGTACAATATTTTATTTAATGTATTGAACTTTATTTTTACTTCTTTAAGTGATGTAACTAATGGTAAAATCTTTGGCTGATTTATTGTGCTAATAAACAATAAAAAGATAGATAACATTATATATAAATATTACCTAGCAATTCTCATATTATTATAATGATTGTAAAAAGTAAAAATTTACCAAAAAGACTGATGGTCTATCATTGATTCATCACTTTCTAATAGACACCTACATAAAAAATCTATTGCTAAATGTTTATCAACAGCAAAATAATATTCGCCTAATTCATAGGCTAATTGATTACAAAATAAACGGTCAACAGAATTTGTTGTTGAATTTGACTTAATGTAATTTATAAATAATAAATGAATTAATAAATGGAATGAATAATAACAAAAAGATAATGTATATAATCAACAAAAAAAGATGAAATATACCATAAGTTGCTCAGTCATTTTTACATATAATTCATTTAAGAGTTCTGCTGATTTCTTATTTTGATCTAAATTTATTTCAAATTCAATATTATTTGAACTTGACCTTATTATCCAACGATGATATAAAATAATTGGATTGTTTTGTGGATCATTCCCAAAGAAGTCTCTAAATATAAAACACATTTATAATATCACATATAATATTAATCATAAATATTATTAAACACATATTAACCTACCGTCCATAACTCAATAAGCTTCGAAAAAGAACTGGTTGAACATTTATTGGTGTGTTGGATTCAATAATTTGTAGTGACAATTGAGTTTTTAGTATCACCTGGTATAACAATCTTTCATAATTTACTACTTATTTACTTATATCTATTTGGATAACAAATAATAGAGAAATATACACACCTTGCAAGCAGCTTGAACTAGTTGGAATTGATGTGTAGACAATGAAAAAAAAAAACAATCATCAATGCTTTCACATGTAATATTTTTTGGAAAATCATCTTTTTTAAGTAATGTTTTTAACAGTATTACGCCTTCTTTGCTTTGTGATTGATTTATGGAGTTAAGCTAATTTATAAAAAAAAAAAATGAGAGAAGGATAAGAAGAAATAACACTTTAATTCTATAGAAGGCAATAATAATATTATTATTATGACTTACATATAAATCAAGCTTTTTCAGGTCTGCACACCATTCAAAAATTATTTGATTTGAAGGAATAGATGACATGATTGACAAATTTTAAAACAGATGACGACCCAAATAAATACTTATTTCAAAATCCACCAACCAATCAAATTGAATGTTGTGCAAGGGTATTTTCCCAAATTTGGTAGGAAATTTAATTGGGATTTATAAGTAATTGAACATCACATAAATTGTTGCACAATTATTTATACCGTTGCCTAATTGACAATTAAAGTGGTTACATGTACTGTACATTAATTAAACTTTACAGTATCGTTTATTTTAACCTGTTTTCCATTGATCCAGCCTGACCCACTGCCTGCCAAAATTTTTTAAATTAATTATATAAAAATGGGACTTGCATAGTTTGTGAACAAGCAAAAGCAGGTGAACAGTTACAATAGAAGGAAAAAGAAAAGAGGGTATTTGGACTTGAGGTTGGTGTTTTAATTTATTCTGATTGCTGCAGTTTAAAAATCAAATATGACAGAGGGACAGGACAACACATCCAAAATATCCAAAAGGAAACATAAATATTACTAAGAACTGCATCTTCTGTGGAAGAATTATAGGACAAACATCAGAATTCAAAAGAGAATTATAATCTGTTTGTTATCAGACCATTTTCAAAAGAAATTACAGGTAAATGATTATAATTAATAATAATATATTAATATAAAGAAAAAAAAATACTAATCTTATATTTTATTTTAGATATTTTTAAATTTACCAAATTTTTAAAATTAAAAGATTAACTAACCATTGTTCTTTATAATTAACAGCAATATGAACAAAAAGACCCAATCAATGATCCCAATGGATTTGTTTGAATGATTAAAGGAAAGGATACTGAATTAAAAGGGGTTTTTGATATGTTTTTTGAAAGCATGATTTCTTTATTAATAGATACTATGTATATTCTAGGAATTAAAGTTATTGCTTTTTTGTTATCAAATTGTTGGGTCAATATATATACGTTTGTGCTGATCATGGTGG